GCCTCGTGGAAGTCGGACATACGTGTTCATCATCATTTCCACCTCACGGAGGAATGCTACGTGAAGACAGATTGCCGCCGCCGTCCGCCTTTTTGGCAAGGTCCACGGCGCGCTCCATGTCCGACTCGATACGATCCTGTAACGTGGGTTGGTGCAGTATAAAACGTAGAAGGACACGTTAAAGTAGCTTTAACGTCTACGTTATTTCGACACTCTCTCGGATACAGTATCCGGAAATGTAATCAACTCACTGTCAAGACCAAGTTGTCATTACTTGCCGCAACTGGAGCGCGGATGCGAAGGATCGCGGCGGTCGGGCGGCTTCTACATGACTGCCTCGGATAGATATTGGATCTTGCGAGGATTCGAGTAGAAGGCAGCGGTGTGTGGTGCCTCTCCAGCCAAAAATAGGCCATCTGAGTCGAGGGCAACCTCTCATGTGTGTCGCAACGGTGGCGACGACGAAACGATCGATGGGGGTATCGAAGCTGCAAAAGTTCCTGGCGGCACGGCACATTCAAACGCCGCTGGGGCCAACGACTGGCCTTGCCTCATCCACGCGCCTCACTCTCGACTACATCCACGACAAAAAACCAAACGCCCTGCCCGAAGTGTGGGCAACATGCTCGGCCAGAAAACTCGGCGCCCGCGTCGACGCCGTGCGCGAGGTGTGTCTCTCCAAGCTGTCGTCGTGCATCGATAGCATGACAGATCTCCCGCTAGATCCTTAAATCCGTGGACGACGACACGTTTATGACGCGGGAACCCGAGTCGGCGCCTATTAGCATCCACATGGACGAAATGGCGGTCGCGGCAGCGTATGATCAAGCATGTCGCCTTCGCATGCTCACATTTGAGCCAGATGACCACGCACTGGAACAAGTGATTTTGAGCCGAAGTGCGTACGATCAAGCCGTTGCGGCCGAGCGCGCTCTCCTGGCTGAAGGCGAAAAGCAGCAGTCGGTACGGGAACTCATTACGAGCCACACGTTCAAGTGGCTACTGACGCCATCCAAGTCGACGCTCGGCGCGAGCGGCGAACTCCGAACGGCGCCGTCCGCAAGACAGGCATCGATGTCCGAATAACCTCCCGACTTGGCCTCGAACAGCACACACACTAGCGATAGCCCTGTCTGTACCCAACTCGTTTAATTCCTGACATGCAATCCAGCATCCATCGCGTTGGCATCGTGCGAATAATGGGGCCGAGTGTAGTGTTTCGAGTGGTCGTACACGCTGTACTCGATCGCTACGTTCATCGTTGCGTTGCCGATGCGGTCGGCAAGTCGCTCATCGTGCTCAAAGTCCGGGAGATGCGCGGCTTGTGTAAGAAGCGAGAGTTCACTTCGTATACACCCAGCGCGATGCAAAGTGTGCGAACGGCTGGACACGTGGCCAGGATCGTTACCGACAGCTGCGACACCCAGGCTAACGTCGCCATCGTCGTGGGTTGTCTCTGCCATCGTGTTTCATCGGGTTATCTCGCGGGCGGTTCGCACGCATCCATCGTGAAAGTCGTCCCGTGGCTCGTCCGTGCACGGGAAGCGCAGATCGCGGTCGGTCGTGCAAAACCCAAATTTTGGCTCCTGTGACCTTGGATGCTGCGGTCGGGACAAGTGCGACGTGTGTTCGACAGTGCCGCAAGTCCGCGGGGCTCAGTGGATTTGCAAGCGAGAGTAGTCAAAGAGTGCATGGCCAGAAATGACGATGGATTTTCACGACGACGACCGTCAGTGTGAGCCCCATGTCGTTCCGCACCATGTCACCACGACCGAGTGCATGGTACACCAGCCTCGACAGGAACCCCACGACAGGAGAGAGTTTTTTCAAAATCCGTGCCGGCAATTCGGGACTGCAAGTAAGCTGTCACTGCACGCATGTGTGGATTGCCGTGTGCGGGGCTCGTGGACGGTGGAAACGTCCTCCAGCAAGCGGGTGCACCGACCAGGGGAGAACTTCATAACGTCGCGGTGCCGACATGCTCAATCGACAGGCGGCCCGTGCAGCCTCGCAAGCTGCATCCGATCAGCTCGGTGGGGGCAAAATGGAATGCCCACTATGTTGGCCGTCTGAGCGTACAACGCGCGGGCAACATGAAAACGATGCGTGTTACTCTGTCGTGCCATGTTGGTGCTCTTTCCGTCGTTGCTGCTTCATGCGGCATTCTACAAGGCGCTGGGCCGCGTCGAACAAGACCCGGTTCACCGCCACGTCGCCCGCCGCGACCTGCGTTTCGATGGCTTGGACCGTGGCAGGATGGTCGCGCAGCAGCCAAGCAAGCACTTGGGGGCTATCGTGACGCAGGAATTCGTCGTAGATTTCTGCCGCGCGACGCAGTCGCCGCAACTTCGCAGGGGGCAATTGAAACGCGGCGCCTTTTGTAGGCATGTCTTGAATCGACTTGAACCCTTCGACAGCTTGCCAGAAGCACACGTCCTTGGACTTGACGTCACGTCCTCGGGCGAAACGCTGTGGACTCGGTACAGGATGCACTACTGGCGCCACGGAGCGGTCCAGCGCGACCCCAGCGACCACACTCGTCGTCGACGTCGAGGCGTTGGCATTGCTTTGATCGTGTGTCTTCGTGGAGGTGGGGGCTGGACAAGTGTCCGTGGTGTGGTACGTGTGGGGATAAATAGCTGCGTACGCTTGTTTGACGGCATCGTCCATGGGCTTGTTTGCAAATGCGTGCCACACCATGCCCCGCTGCTCAGTGGTGAGTCGGCCCCCTTGGACACCCGCGGCCTATGGTGGCATGTCGACTCACATTAGCTCGTGCATCCATGGGGGTGTTTCACGACTGCACTGGGAGCTAAACCCACCTGTACTTGCGGCGGCAATAGAGCAGGCATGGATTGCGCGTGCTGGTCTCGATGTAGCCGAGTTCCCACGAGCCCCATCGCCGTCTGTTGTGGCAAGTGGTCGAAAACCTGCGTGGCGTCGAACGCTTTGTGGAACGGGCGCTCTTCCAGCATCGTCACGTGGTGTTTCAAGGGCTGGCCGTTGGCAAGGCAGGGGGCCACTGCTTTGGGGACCTTGGGGGGGTCGTGGAATAATTGTAACTCAACGAGGGGAATGCGACCTCCCCAATCATCCTCGGATGCCGACAGCGACTGGTTGTCGTCGAGGGGCATGACGTCGCGATTCGTCGAGTGTGCCGAGTAGCCGGGAATGAAGCGCGGCGCCTTGGTCAGCCGCGACATGGACTGCGGCGCTCGTAGGGTTGAGGACTTGCCGACGAGGGATAGCGACGCCGGGTCCGCGATCGACGGAAGCGCGTTGGTTGACGTGGTTCGCTTCGGGTATTTTTGCTTGGTTTTGAGTCGTCGTTGGCGAAGCGACTCGTCCCGCTGGAGGATGTCGTCCATGGAGCGAAGGGGAACTGCCGTCGCATTCAAAGGGAGATGGCCGACCCGTGGTCTCGGCATCGTCGAGCTGGATGCGAGAGACTCTTGCACGGCTGACGTGACTGTGCTTGTACCCACGTATTGCCGCAGCAACAACGTTTGTGAAAACGTCGTAAAGTTATCCAACAAGGCATCGACGTCATCGAGCGCGGCGTCCAGGTCAGAATTGGGTGGCGGGGGCGACTCCTCCGGTTGGGCCGGTGGCAGGATTGACATTTCTGCAACTTCCATGTCGACGGCTACAGGATCGGGTGGGGTGTCTGTCTTGGAAGGGTCTCGAGGAGACCCTTGCCGAAGCTCATGGCTGTCCTGTGGCTCGGACTTGGGCTCTGCCACTTCGATGACTTGCACCAACTCGGATCTCGGCGTGAGGTTGCGTCGGGTGCGAGACGAAGGGTGTGGGATGGCCATGGTCACATTTTTCGCCGCGTCGAGTTGGAGATGCGGCAAGTCTGGACGAGCGTCTTCAGGAGCGTCGTTGGACAGAGATAGCACTGGTGTCGCGCAGCTCAGGCGACGGCGTTGGCGGTGCTCGTCTCGGTCAGGAATACCTTCCACCGTCGAATGGCGATGGCGCACAGGACTTCGTGTGGATGAAGCGCGTTGCAACGGCGGCACGTCGGTCCGAGCGGCCGTCTTCGGTGGACTCGTGCGTTGTGGGCCGACCGCGGCCGGCTGTGTCACGTGGGTTTCATGCACGTTCTTGTTGACAAACGAGAGAGCCGAGGCAGGGATCGATGCGACTGCGCCGTCCGCTTTCCAAAGCGCCATGGGGCCGCCTCGCGCGCTTTGAGGAATGCGCGAGCTTCCAGGCAGCAGCGCCTACGCGCCGTTCATCAGGACCCGACTCCCACGACATGGGCACAGCGTACAGCGATCGACGAGTCATCCGAGTCGGCGGCCACGGTAAAGTTGGCAAATTCAAACCGGGACCCGTAGATTTGTCGCTTGCTCCTGGCATCTATGTCATCCAGCGAAAGCGATGGCATATCGTTGTCGTCAAGGACCGGCGTCGCGCTGTCGAGATCCACCTGCGCGAGAAGCACCATCAAAACTTGCCGCGATCGATGGCAGGTCATCGCGACATGGCGAACCTTGTCCTTGCCGTCGTTGCCCTTCGTCCGAAGAATGCGCCGAAGGGTCTCCCGCGTTCGATTCACTCGCATGTCGCCCTTGTCATTCGCCTTGTCCGGCATGTCGACGGTATCCATGGCTAGCGTCCCACGTCGCCGCGCGCGATCCAACCTGGCCACGTCATCTGCGGTCGCGGCATGAGATGCTGGACCATCATGGATTGAGGCGTGCAACGACGGCGGCGGGTCGACTTGCCCTGGTCGTCCGCGTTATACATGCCACGAGCTCGTCGGAGGAAGCAATCGATGATGGCCATGTGTACCTGTGACGGGGTTCACTTCGACAAACGATTCCTGGGACTCGAGTTCGGCGCGCCGCTGGGCCTCCACCGCGTTTGCGACCATTTGTCGCTCCGCGTCGAAGAGCAGCATGATGCTGCGGCGGTATGCTTGCACGAGGGACGGCGCGACGACGACGTTGTCGTGGTCGAGGGACTGCTGCAGCCCCGCGCGGACGACGCCGGTCGACGCGACCTTGGTCAATGCGGCGGGGTGGTCGGCGGACTGCCTCGTTTCGTCCACCCTTCCGAGTGTGTCTTGCGACGACGGCCGATGAATGAACCACTTGTGCTGTTTCAATTCCAGCAACGCACTGGAACTCCGCCGCATCTGTGTGAGGACTTGGTGCTGGACGAGCAGCCGCTTTGCCACCGTGCGAAAGCTCTTGCGGGTCGCGCGCTCGGCGTTGGCTTGGGCGGGCTGTTCCAATGATTCTTGGTCCAGGGCTTTGAAGCGACTCTACACGCCCAGCTTCAGCACGGAGAAGCTCGTCGTACGAACCTCCAACGTCGACCGCGCGACGGCCAGCTCGTCGAACGAGTGCTGATGAAGGTGCAAGAGACCGCTCAATGTTGCGTACTCTTCCTGCGTGTACGTCCGCTGCTCGTCAATCGGGCCGGAATACAGCTTGAGGACTGTGTCGAGCTGCTCGAGCTTGGCCTGGTGCTTACGCAGCTTCTTCTCGGCCGCTTCACATGCGACCTTGTGCTCATCGACAGCGAGCCGGGTCGTCACCTACGGGACGTGACGATGGTCACCTTGGTTGGATCGATCTTGACGGCCGTACGAGCTGGGAATACATGTTGTCGGCCGTCTCCCCCGAGTACAACGCGAGCAGCTGCGTATACTGGTCTTGGTGTGCTTCGAGCTCTGTTCGGGACGCGTCGACGACGGCCTGGACCGCTTCAACGCGCTTTTTCTCGTGCACGATCATGTCGTCGAGCTTGACGAGGACTTCGGTTTCGGTCGGGAGGTCGTTTTCGAGCGCGGCGATGATGGCGGCTTCGTCCGAGGACACTGGCGGCGGGTGCTGGGGGTGGGCGAGTTTGACCGCAATGCGAAGCTCTGTCCATGCTCTGTGATGCTGCACGTGCATGATTTCCTGTGCACCACACACACACTTTCATTTAGGCGACGTGCAAGAGAGCGACGACGTTGTTACCTCGTCGATCGATGCAAACGTTTTCGTGGTGGGCTCGTCTATGGCCACTTCTTTGAGCTTCTTGGCGCCATGGCGTTCGAGTTGGAGCAACTGGTTCTCTGTCGCCCGCACCATCGTGTCGAGCGCCTTGACTTCGTCCTCGACGGCCTTTAGCTCGAGCGCCGGCTTGGCTACCAAATGCTGGACAAAATCGGTCGCGAGATGGGTTTCCAGCACGTGCGACGTGTCCTTGCCAAAGTAATGGGTCGCATGGAACGGCGGGACGTCCGATGGCGTGTTCAGAGGGACGTCGAGAGCGGAGATGCCGTCGCTGCCGGCGACCCATTCCAAGTAGCACTCGTCGGGATACACCCGTCGGTCGTGCAGCAGCATGGCGTGGGTATTGCGTCTGTTCGACGACACCATGGCGCGCACACGCTCCTGGACCGCTTGCACGCGCTGACGATGGAGCAATTTGTTGGCCATCACATATAGAAACGGGGCGCGGTCGGCCTTTTTCTCGTCGGTCGGGGGCGGGCGCGGCATAAAGCTGTGCCAGGTTCCGAGCCATGCATGGCCGAGCTTGCGTTCGTCGGTGTCGACTTGTACAAGCATGACGGCAATGGCGTGCCAGATCGGCGTTGTGTTGGCGCCGTGCAAGCGAATTTGTGCAGGAGAGTTGGTCGCATTGAAGCCGTACCTGTCGGCGGCAACATCATCAGTTGTGTCCTGCAGCGGACAACGGAAGGATTTACCCGTTCGATTGCAAGTAGTGCCGCATGTGGAGATCGGCCGTTGCCATGAGCGCGCTTTGGCCGCGGTGGTTGACGGCAAATGCTGACGCGCCGTGGGCCAACAACGAGCTCAAGACTTCGCGCTGGTGAAACCACCCGAGGTGCTTGTCGCTGCGGTGAATAGCCACGTGGAGCGCCGTGTTGCCGAAGACGGGCTCGCGGCCGCACACGAGGGACGGGTCGTGCTGCATCATGGCTTCCATGGCAGCGACGTGGCCATCGCGCACGGCCGTGTGGAACGAGTACAGCGAGTATGGTTCGACATCCATCTGTTACGATGAGGGGCTCAGTCATGACGACGATGCCGTAGAGGTCTCGTACCCGGGTTTCACAGCTGTGCATGTACGGAAAAGCTCGTTCGAGTGCGTCCAGTGTCGCGTCGGGGTCGGGAGCGAGTTGAAGAGTTGATGGCGGAGATGTCGCGGCGGACCGCGACACGGTAGTCCGAAGAGCTGCGAACGTCGTGCGCACGAGCGCCTGCGCATACAACTGCGTGGATGTGCACCAGAGCTTGGCAAAGTTCTTTCGCTGAAGCAGGGACGCTTTCCACCGCTGAAACACGTGATGCTTGGCACGCTGGGATGCGACGTGGGCCCAGTAGAACAGCACCTGGCACATTCTTGGGTACACTTGCGGCTGAAGGAGTTTGGAGAGACGGTCGAGCTCCGTCATTTCGTGCCGGGCCACCACTTCCTTCCTACACGTGTTCAACAGTGTCATCCATGGCATCGCAGACTTGGTCGCACCAGGCTTCCCACGCCCGCGCGGATTGCCGTTGCTTGGTCTTGATGCCGACGCGGCGTTTTTGCGGACGGCAATGCTGCTTCTGCAGCGCGTAGAATCGCCATGCGTGAAAAACCTGCTTGAGACGGCTGCGGGTTTCCAAGTTGGCCACTGTATCGCCGTGCCAGGTCGCAAAGAGCTCGGCCAACATGTGCCGTTGATAGTGCAACTTTGCTTTGACGTTGGCCCGCTTCTTCGCCCGTCGCTGGTGCCAAAACCGAGCCAGGAAGTGAAAATACCGCCGCATCCAAGCCAACGGCCCTGCGACTCGTCAAGACAGCTGCCCAACTGGTCGAACGCGATGAGTCGCTGCGTGCTTACCTTTGGCTTGGGCTTCCAGGATGCGAATTTGCTCGTCCCGATATGCCTTGAGCCACTGATCCCACTGCGCGAGCGGTGACGAAAAGATCGGGACGTCCAAACAGCGTCGCTTGTGCCACTTGAACACGCTGTAGCGGTGCCACATCTGGAACGCGACGAGCACGCGCTCACCGACCCACGCTGGCCGCTTCAAGAATGCCAACCGGAACGCGCGCCGGAGGCACATCTCGGCATTGACTGCGACGCGCGAGTGCGCCTCGTGCATGGCTTTCCACTTCAAGAACGTGGTCTGGACAAACTTGCGCGCGACCGCCTGCCGCGCGTGCTCCATCTCAATGCGAAGCTCGTAGATGCGATTGCAACTCCGGTCGCCGGATCGATCCTCCACAGCCGCAAACGCTTGGTCGACAAACAGAACGGTCCGCGTCGACACCGCTCGCGCGCGCCGCTCCAGGGACTGGGGGCCGTTTAGCCACTCGTCGCCACGCGAGTTGGTCACGAAGAGGTTCTTCACGATGGTAGGCAACTTGTACAACGTGGACGAGTGTTGGAGGAGCTTGAGTTCGATGGAGCGCAGCTACGCCACCGACGAGGTGGTAATGTCAGGGGCGACATCAAGTGTTTGGTGCTACACCTTGATATTGCACTCGACTTCTTCCGCCCACTCGGTGAACGCGCGTCGACACAGCCTCGCCCGGACAGTTTGGTCAATCGCATGCAAGAGCACCCACGCTCGAAAGACGCGGCGCTGTTTCCGCCGCTTCGTGGCTATCCAGCGGAGGTAGATGGCGCGGAAGCGGTGCATGCGCCACACCGTTTGGATGCGGATGGTACTTGCGCGGGCTCGCACCTGTCGGCGCCGTTGTGGGTGGTGAGACTCTGCGGGGAGCATGTACCTGATGGCGGTGGCCTTCGAGGAACGTGTCCCGCTCGCGTCGGTCGGCGTAGCCGTCGTCGTTAACGGGAACTGCGGCGACTTGAAGATAGAGATCGCGCAGGTTGTTGGACAAAACACGTTGAGTCGAGATCTGGCGGTCTCGACAATGGCTCCGCACGTCATGGGACGACGTGGAGGAACTGGTGAGAAGTCCAGACAGTTGCTGCCGATGCGTTGACATGGGGGCGAAATTGAAGTCGCTGGGGGTGGCGCTGTGGAGCGTGTACTCGATGGTGGACGTGCTTGACGTGATGTCGCGTTGCTCCAAGCGTGCGAGGCTTTCCTCGAGGGCAGCGGTTTCCGCTGCGAGAGCTTGTAAAGCGACGTCATCCTCGACGGCCGGGGAGACGTTGCCATACGGCGGTGTGATGCAACTCGAAGGAGTCGGCAACGACGCTGGTGGTGTAGAGGGGATGTGACGTGGCGAGAGTTGGGATGTGCCGCCATCGACGTTGTCGGGTTTTCGTTTCCGCGGTTGGAGCGCGCGCTGAAGCTCGACGACGTCGTTCACTTTGCGTGCTGCTCGTTCACGTGCAGCAGCGTCAATTGCAGACTGATCCAGTTGCATCATCTCGTGAATCGCGTCGGAAGGGTACCAGCCCATAATCCGCTGCACCTGCAAACGCGTACGTTTCAGCTTCCGACGCCTTCTTGCGGCTGTGTCGATGGGTGGCGGCAGTTGAAAGATCACCGTTTGGACAACGTTTGGTGGTGGTTGGCCTGCATCTGTACGGCGAGTTTTGTCAACGGCGCTGTCGCCGTCAGAGTCGGATTCATGGCTAGGCGCCGCCGCTACTACCTTGACGTCGTCGGCCATTCGGTTTCACAGGAAAACGGCTGCTGGAGTGTGCACGGTTTCACCTTTAGCAGCACGCCACCATGCACCTCTTCGACGCCGAGGACGCACGGCACTATACGAAGCACAGTCGATTGCAGCACGACGCGTGGATGTTCGACATGTGTGGTTCGTTTCTCGCACAGTTTAGGATCTGTCCATCGCGCGAACGCCTTGAGTACGACTTGGGCAGCGAGAAGGAGGAAGCGACGGGGTCGCTCGGCGAGTCTGGACAGACTCTTGCTGTCGCGACCGCCTTTGGAATCGCTGACAATTGAAAAACCAACAAGCACATCTTGGTGGCCATGTCGATTGTCTAGATAATCTCACGACGATTGGCACTCGCGCGAAGATGATGGCATGAAGGTTGCCTGCGACGGCAGATGAAGTGGACGAACGAGACATTTTGGCACAGATGACGAGGAAGATAGAGGTCTGTGATGCGACGGTTCGTGGCATATACATGAGGGTTTCCAACCTGTGCTGTCTGTATGGGGGACTGAACATCTCGGTTTGATATTGTCGACACAAGTCTGAGCCTACGACTCGTGCATGCTCCGTGTTGTCGGTATGACGCACCGCCTGCGATGGACTTCTGCGGTCCAGACCTATCGTCGGCGTTCGGGACGGGTGTGACTCGTCGGAGGGTGTTCAGGTGGTTGTCGGCGGCGGCGGCGATGGAGGTGCGGGCATGCTCAAAAGGGCTCAACCTTCGAGTCATGCAGTTGCATCTGTAGCTGGCGAACACGCTCTTCGTGCCATGAGGCCAGGAGCCCGATGGCCGCGTCTGCTCGCCGACCAAGTTGCGGTGAAAAGATCACGAAAAACTGGATTGGCCAATCAGAATCAAGTTCTATTCCGAAGGCGAGAGCAGACGCGGACGGACGCGATGACATCCAAGTGGTTGGAAGACTCTGACTTTGTGGCGCGGTTCCGCGGCTTATACGACCGCAATGTGTCCACAACCGAGGTCACGGCACCGTCGAACCCTCCTCAAGACGTCGTGCGGCGCCTGGACGGGTTTGGCTTGGAATGGGCGCCGCTGCATCCGTTCGTGAAGCAAGCGGTGCTGTGGGACATGGGCCTCGTGCATCCCACGAACGGTGCCTTCGACAACGAAAACACACTGCAGCAAGTGTACACAAAATGTGATGCTGGGACGACCACCGGCTTGTCCATGGCGTCGATTGCCGTGACCAAGAACGAATTCGAAAGCACGAGCGCGTCCGAGACTCTGCGTTGGTGTCGTAGTGCTACGACTGAATACGCCCGACAGGAGATTTCCAGCGGACTGAACCTTCGGAAAGTCTCGAAATGCGCTACAATGTTCTTGAGCACCATGAAAGGCGGCGACGCCAGCATGTGGTCCCAAGACGCGTCCGCCTTGAATGCCATTCCCGACCCTCAGCTCTTCCGACATTCATACGACTCGTGGAAGATGATTGCGATCCACAATCGACCTCGCACCGTCAAGGAAGCGTTGTGGGGCACTTGTCCGGACGCGACTTCTCCCGGTTACCTCACGATCCCTTGTGTTGAACTGAACACGTCTATCACGGACACGTCGTACTGCAAGCCTGCTCCAAGCGCACTCATGGACAAGTGGCTCCAAGAACTCAAGCGGTCCAACACTGCCGTCAGCGTTGCGACCGAGAAGCCGACGACGCTCTCTCCAAACCGCGCCAAATCGATGCATGCTTCCACGGCGGTGGTGGGTGTCGTGAGCGCCGTCGCTGCCATCACGAGCTGGTAGATCTTTCAGCGCTTCCGCAGCGCTTTGTCGGCGGCCCAACCCTCCACTCGCTTGCTCTAGCGCACCGCCAGGACTGAAGGTAGCGCAGCAGCATCTGCAATGTTTGGGGTCGTCGTTGTTTCGGTGAAGCTAAATTAGGTGTTTCCAAAAAAATTATGAATTTGTGCACCTAAATTAAGGTTCCATGCCTGATTTAACGTCTCAATGGGTTTCCGGATACTGAAGTTTAAACATCTCGTTTTGTTCGGATTCGATTCAATTGGGGCGGAGAGGTAGCCCGCGCAGGATGGCGGTGTGGACCGAGCACAAGACGAAGGACGGGCGATCGTACTTCTACAACAAGCATACGAAGGAAAGTGTGTGGGAGAGGCCGGAGGGCTTCGTGTCCAAGGCAGTCGAGGCGTCCGCGACGAACCTGACACCGGAGTGGGAGGAACGCATGGACAAGAAGACCCAACGTCTATACTACTACGACAGGGTGAACAAGATCAGTCAATGGATCAAACCTGATGGAGACGTGCACATCACGAGCTATGTGAACAAGGACCGCGAGAGTAAGACGGATGGGTCGTCGACAACCACAACAGCTACCGAGAACGTTGCAACTGACGGAGCGGCGATAAATGCGACAGATATTGCAAGTGCATCCAAAGAGAGTACATCGACTGCAAAGGGGTCTTCAAATGAGTCGTCGGTGAAAAAGCACCATCACCATCATGCGCGCAAGGACTTTGAGAAGAAACCCGACGACGATGACGAGAACACCGACGACCTCGCAACATCCAAAGCCGACGGCGCGAAGTCGTCCCTTCAAGAATGGGAAGGTGACGAAGATGACTCATCCAAGTCGAAGAAACGAAAGAAGCGGGACAAGGGTGCCTCGTCGACCAAATCCAAGGCGAAGAAACTTCACAAGCAAGGAGACTTCCAACGAGCCAAAAAGTCCACGTCGACCATCATCCGTGATTCTTTCGACGTTGCTGGAGGACTTCAGGTCTCGATGGAGAGCACAGACGAAGCAAACCAGTTGCTGCAGGTACGTCGGCTTCTGTTACCATGAAGCTATCGTCACGAGTGGCTGACTGGTTCCCAGTTACTTGGCAAGACCGACTCGATCATGGAGCTCGATATTCTCTCCACAATTAACGGGTTCCTGCGCACACACCCCGACGCAAACGGACCTGGTACGCTTCAATTCCCTTGATAAGGTGGCGTTCATCGGCGCGTGGCATCCAGAAATGCTGGTGAAACAATTGTCGACGGCATATCGCGGCCATGCGCAAATGTGCCGGCTGCTTGGATCGTGGCTCGATGCGTCCATCCCAGAAACGAAATCCTCCCGAATGAGTCTGGCAAAAACACCGGACAACGACGTCGATGCTGACACGCTCATCTTTCACGCGCTCAAGCAGGCCATCATGGACCGCTACGACCCGAAACTTGTACGTCATGCCGTACCTGATGGACCAGACCTGGTGACATGACCTTAGCTGTCGAACGTCCTGAGCGACTCGATTGCCGAGCCAGAGTGGCTCAACACCATGTTGCACGATCGCAAGTGGCGCCTCATGCTCATTGAACTCGCTGAAAAACACAAAGTAAATTCGACCCACGGTCCAAGTCATCCATGATCGATCGATCCACTTACCTGCATGTGTGCTGGCAGACGTGCAGTTTACTGCAGTACGCGATTCGTCGCATCTCGGAAGCTGGTCATCACAAGGAAATCGCCTCCATCACAAACGCCAACGACGTGTTCCCAGTCTTCAATGCGATCGTCGCCGACATCCTCAAGCGGGTACTGCCCACGTCGCCATTCGTTTTGCTTTAGCACGTGCGTGGTAGATTCCGTTCGCTGGCGTCGATGACGTGCGGGAAGACTACCGCGCGTTGGAAAAGATCTGCGCCCATGCCGCATACTTGTACATGTACACGCAAGAAGCGCTGCTCGTCCTGAACGAGGCGCTGTGCAAAGACCCGACGATGCAACCAGCGCGTTCCAAGCTTGAACGCCTTCGCCAGTCCCTCCACGAAACGGTCTTGGTAAAACATGGCGCACAGAAACTGGACGCCCTTCATGTTGTCAAGCGCGCCGCCATCGCTCGACCGTACCCTGCTCTCTCCGAAGCCATCAGTCCGTCGAGATCTATCGCGTGTGGCATTCTTAAACGTGTGGGTTGTGGTCAGGTCTGGTGCTTCAGGAAAACAAGTGCTCCCTCGCCGCCTGTGAGCTCCTCAAGACTGTGTACACGTCTTCGACGCCACCTCCCGTCGCGCATCTGCGCGAGCATGTCGTACGTGCATTTTTCCTGTGGGCCGACCTGTCGTCGTCGAGTTTGTGTCGTGGTAGCGTCGAGTGTGGTCTGACAATGTTGCGCCGCGCGGATGCAGTGACGAACTCTGGTGTGTCGGTGGTAGATTCTGCAGCGGCTCACGACTGCCTTGTTTCACCCGTACGAAGCGATGGAGAATGCCGCCCACCGCACCGCCTGCGCGTTTGTTTTGGCGTATGCTGCCACCGTCCAGGATCCACGCCCGCTTCTAGCGACCACCACGACGGACACGTTGGAATGGAGCGACGAGCACGTCCAAGGGATTGCCGCCGCGCTGGAAGCCGCTTCCATTGTTTGCAAATCGGAAACCACGTTGAGTTACAACGTACGGGAGAGCAATCGTTGGATGCTCAAGCACGTGAGGTTCTTACGAGGCATTGTGTTGGCGTAGATGAACGAGTCGGACGCAGTGGACAAGTTGGTGCGGTCCATGGCGATCCCCGTCGTGTCGATGGGCATTCTGCACTGGTTGCAGCTCCTCCTCGCGTCGAAAACGTTTTACAACGGCCCGTTCTTCCACGCGGCGTTTCCAGTGTTGCTGAATCTGCTTCGGCAAGCGATCTCCCTTCACGTGGCGCAATGGCCAACGGTGTTTCAAGTCCTCGTCACGGCGGTGCGCCTACAACCCGAATCCAACCCGGTCAAAGTTCTCGAAACGAAGAAGGAGACGCTGAGGTGCTTGGTTCACCTCATGACGTGTGGGTACATCTTCCCTGTGCTGCATTTCATCGCGACGCAAACCGACGACTTGGACCAAGCCTTGCTGCGCAACTTTATACAACTCGTGCTTGCGCGGATCGCGCCACCGTATTCGCTTCGATTCACGACTGCGTTGAGTCGAATTCTTGTGCATCCGAAAGTGTCCCAAGCTCTGCGGACATGCCCTGCCGAGACCAAAACCAAGCTCAAGGAGTTTGTTCACGTGTGTCAAGCAGAAGATGGGCTTGCCACCGAAATCCGCCATATCCTTCGAGACTGCTATGAGGATAATTAAAATCGCATGCATCGTCCGTCTCCCCCGCCGCTGCCGTGCGCCGCCGTTGGCGACGTCATGCATGCTTCCAATGTATCTGGATCTGTGACGCTGTCACACGGCTGAATGTCATCGCCAGCCCCATGATACTTTAAATTTCATGATGCAGCATACATTCATTAGTAGTGTATTCATTTAAATCATGCCATGGTGTGGACTCAGTTCGTGGGAAAGGGCGCGAGGTGGGAATTCCCATATAATAATGTGGACGATGGTTGTGACTTCCCATGAGGCAGGGTATTCATTTTTACAGTTTAACCAACCCCCACGCGAGTTTAACATGGCAGTCCAGCGCTCCCGGCCTCAAATTCAGCTGCGGCAGCGTCGGAATATTAATGGTGGGAGGTTTTTCAAATGACTTGGAAAATGTAAGGCCAGTCACGACGTCATTCAGTGAGGAACAGCAGCGCGGCGGACGCAGTGGCACCACCGTGGGCGGCGACACCATCACCAGCAATAGAGTAGGAGCGATAGGATTAGGCATGACAGATTGTTCCCCAAAGATCGGGTACGTGGGATGCTCTTGCATGTGTATGTGACTCATGCGGCGTTGATGCAGGAAGATATTCATCGGAGGCTTGTCCTACGAAACCACGGACGGTACATTGCCGAAGCGAGACGAGTGCGAAGTTTATCATCTATGTAGAGAAACTCCGGTCGTATTTTGGCGCGTACGGGACAGTGACCGACGCCGTCGTGATGAAGGACCCGATCTCCCGGCGGTCACGCGGGTTTGGATTCATCACGTATGCAGATCCAAGCTGCGTCGACAGAGCGTTGGCGCAACCGAATCACGTGCTAGACAGTCGAAGGGTACGTCGCACCTCCGTCATCCTGTTTTCAACGGACCTTGTCGTGACAGGTTGAGGCCAAGCGCGCAGTCCCTCGTGCCGAGAGCGCGCGTGACACAAGTAGTGCCACGTCGTCCAGGGGCGGCCCACCGAGTGCATCGTCGTCGAGTGGTGGCATGCCTGGGTCGTTGAATAGTTCAGGCGTCGGTAGTGGCGCCGCAACGAAGAAGATATTTGTGGGTGGATTGCACTACGAGACGAAAGACGGTACGATCGGGTTCGTGCTGCTTTCGCTCATGCGTCGTGTCGATTCTAGCCGAGTTCAAAAAGTACTTTTCACAGTATGGCAAGGTCGTGAGTGCCGAGGTGATGTTCAACCGCGAGACGAACAAGTCGCGTGGGTTTGGCTTTGTCATTTTCGAAAGTGAACACAGCGTCGACCTGGTGCTGCAGGACTGTGGCCATGTTCTCGACGGCAAGTCGGTATGTGTCTCAAAGTGGATCTCCGCATGAGCTCAATCGAGTGCAGGTCGAGGTGAAGCGTGCAGTTCCACGAACGGATGCCCCACCGGGGGCTCCCTCCGGTCCGGCAACGACCCGTACACATCTTGGATCATCCACAAGGGGCTCGTTCAGCGATGATCTCTCATCTACGCCCAAGCACTTGCTCAGTCCGCGTTCCAACCCGCCCGTGTCCCCAGCCAGTCGATGCAGTCCCTCCCTCGCGCCCGTCGCTGGTGCGTCGTCTTCAACATTTGGAGGGTATGCTGCGGCCGTACGATATGGCGGCGGTCGCGTGACCTCGCTGCCATCGTCGTCCCCAGTTCCCTGTGGACTTGACGCGAGCCTCGATCAGCTGCACATTGACTCGGCCCACCTGCTTCAGCATCCCCAACACTTGGCGCACCGCCAGAGCCCAGACCAAAGCCGACTGTTTCGATCACACGATGGTGGGTCGACGCCAGCATACCCCCCGCCGTACTTGTCCCAGCACGATTACGTTGACCAGTCGATCCCGCCGCAGTGGCAGTCCCGCCACCAACAACCCCAACCTTGGCAACAGCACCACCAACAACACCATCCGCAACAAGGATGGTCTACAGAGAACCACCCGACTCCAGGACTGCGCCAGCCGTCGGAGCACAGCCGCCACGCCACTGTGTTTGGGATGTTTACACCTCACCAACCCACCGCTGCGTCGTCCAACCCTCCGCCAAGGTGGGATTCGTCGTACGGATCCAGCGATGGGTTCCAGTTTGGTCTGGGCGGGTTTGCCGGCAGGGCAGGTATGTCCTCTGATGGGTTTGAGTATGGTGCGCGTCCTCCGACGTCGTCGTCGTTGGTCGGTCTTGGTATCGAAGGGGAGGACGACCTCCCGCTGCGGTTTGGCGACCCGTCGTACCTTGGCATCGACCAAGACGTGGACGACAGACCACAGCCACCACCCTCGACCAATGGCCCCACCCCCCAGTACTTGTACAGACACAGCGAAGACGACTCGGATAGCGGACGCTATTATCCTCAGTACAGATAAGCGGCGACGGCACGAATAGTAGATTCAGGAAGGTAGACACGAACTAGGTAAACACGCGTAATGAAAGCCACCAGCGCGCTTTCGAGTCGAGCCCGTGCAGCAGGGCAGTCTTGTCCCTCATGGTAGAGGGATCACATCTACGGGACGCCACTGCACTCGAAAGGATGACCGTGTGGCGAGGCGTGCCGCAACCGGGCGATGCCGCGCTGGGCAAATTGTTCGACCGCGTTGGATTGGTCAAATTATCCGGAATGTGCCCTTTCGGTGCCGGATACCATGGCAAACATTCGACATGACGTCGTTGGGTTCAAGCGCAGACAATTCTTCTGCGCTTGGAGCATGTTTACCACCGCCACGAAAACGACGTCGGCGGACGCGATCGCTGCGTCCATGAGCACCATGAAGATTTGCCAAGGCTCCAAGATCAACATACACGAGCACGATGTAAACTTCTTGCTGCCCCATGCAAGGACTGAGCTTCGGGTATTCTTGTAGACGTGGTGCAATCACACTGTGCGCAACCCAATCGTGATCTCGGTACGCTCCGTGCTTCATCTCCACGAGCGTTGTGGCCATGTATGCCGTATCGATGGCTAATGACGTGGTCGCAGGTGTCGGACCCTGAAACGAGAGGCAGCTACATTAAGAAGTACACGACCTATGTGGTCCGCCAAGACTCGCATCCAGTCAGCGTCCGTCGCCGCTTCAGGCACACTACCTCTTGTCATGCTTGTGGCTGAATTCATCATAGCGACTTTGCGTGGTTGCATGCTACGTTGTCCGGGCGATACATTGGCATGCTGATTCCGTCGATGCCGGAGAAGGTCGTGTACAAGTCGGATGCGTGCATTCGCAGTCGCATGCGAGGGCTCACAATCTTCCTCAACCAAGTGATGCGGTCGCCGTATCTGCGGCAAGACGCATCCGTCGTCGGGTTTCTCCATGTCGCCGACGATGTCGAGTGGGGACATGTCAAAAAGGTAACCGACTGCCCGTCGAGTTCGTCATGTCATCGTTTCCAATAGTCGTCGAGCGTGTTGGAGAATGCTGGAGTCGGCCATTTGAAGTGGATGCAGTGCCTCATGAGCTCTGTGATTCCTGAAGACCCAGACAAGTAGTTCTTTCCCGATATGAATTGCCAAAACAACTTTACGTCCGCCTTGGTAGGTTTCTCGTCGGCATCAAGCGCGACGTGGATCACGTCGAAAAATGCTGCGTCGACATTGCTGCTGGCACAAAAGTACGGCACACGATGAACATGACGCTCCGATTGTCAACGGCGTGGTCGAGTTGTAGAAGCTCGAAGAACGATGCGCCGCGCAGTCGAAGGACCTCTCCGAGCTCCACTTGATGTTCAATCAGTGGAAAAACATCGAATTCAACGCGTGCGACGATAAACACTCGGAGCTCAACGCGATCTTGTCCACGACAAGTGAGCCTTGGACATATCGTTGGCGCGACATGACTTGCATATTTGATGTAGCGGCGACGATCGCAGGATGGCATGACGCGCAATACCATCAGCCGGTCATTCACGGCTTGATACTTCATGAAGGCATCAAGTACATCGCTGCGCAAGTGAAGGATTTCAAGGACATTCTCAAACAGCGCGATGCCGCTTTGGTCGGTCGGGTATTCTCGAGGATATTGACCCAACGTCGAGTAGGCGCAGTACGACAAAGCAACGAGACCTCCCGTGGCCCCACCCAAAGCGACGTCGTACTTTCCACGATATGCCGCGGAGCCGAGCGTCGCGGAAATCCAAGCGTCGGCCAACCGCCACGAACACGTTGCGACGTGCATTACGCGTGCGCTGTTCTTCTCGGAAGCCAAGCGCATCAAGTAGGGCAGTCGTGTACAGTTGTTGTTGGGACCGAACTAGATGGACTGATGGGATTGTGGCAAACAGGTCGCTAAAGGCGCAGTTGCTGCGGGATGCCATGGGGCCTTTTGCGTGTGCGGAATACCACGTGTCCAAGCGCGTACGATGGGTATTCGCAGCCGTCCGACTTGACCTGGTGTGTAGATGGCGACAGTGTGGAGCAACTTTATGTCGGCTGCAGATATCTCACAACAGGTAGAGCGGCGAGATCTCTGCATGCTTCTGTCCCAACTCGTTTGGCATGCGTTGTGTAGGACATGCTGGCTGCGGCCAAAGCGGTGCTGGACTCGGCCGATGCCGCCACTGACTCGCCCGACAACCAAATCGACTCAACGACGTAAATGAACGACCCACGAGGGAGAGAGCGTCGTTCAAACGATGCGATCGGGTAGCAGTATACAACGAATCGATCGATGATGTTGCATGCGGATGGACATTGCCGGGACGTCGGCTTCGGGAACCTCTCGGGTAGTGCTGCTCATTCGTTTACGTGGACACATATTGAACGAACATCCTTGACGCCTTTCACGCGGAATCGGACAAAAGCACGTCCCACTACCGCAACGACGCGAAGTATGCGCGCGCGGAAAGGTGTTGGCCGCGTGGGCTGCACTTGTTGGATGCCTACCGCTTCCGCTGAAGCGATCGCAGATAGCACAAACCGTTCGCATCACCATCATCACATCTGGGTGCATCTCCGTCGATGTCCCGTTTCAAGTCTCCGCCGTCGTCGTCCGTGCCTGCCTCGGCAATGCACGAGGACGAGAGTAAAGTAAGCGGCGGGTATAAAATATTACGATAAGAAATACGTCCTTAGGATCTCGTGGTCGGTGGGGGAGTAGGTTGGGTCGTTGCTGCCAATGACGACGGGAGCGGCGGCGGCGGCGGCATCGACGATGTGGCAGGCGATGGCTGGCCGTAGCGAGCGTTGCCGCCAAAAGACCCGACGGTCGGCTTGGCTGGTTGCCCCATCGAGTTGTGCATAGCCATTTGCTTGTCGTTGGCGATGCACGCCAGGACAGCTTGCATGTTGCGGTCCATTGCCGCCATTTGCGACTTCATCGTTTGGAGGTCGGCCTGGAGCGACGTCACGACGTTGGTGAGGTCGTGTATCCGAGACGTGAGGAACTCTTCCTGGTCCGTCCCCTTCTTCGGCTTGGGTTTGATAATGGGAAGTTCACCCTGCATGCCCCGGATGAACTGGGGATGACTGAATTCGTACATGCTGCCCTGCCGCTTCATGCGACGAAAGCCGTACGAGTTGAGCTGACGGGCAAAGCTCTCAAACTTGATCGGTTTGAAGTAGAGCGGGATCACCTTCCGCTCAAACGTTGGCACGTCGTACACGGCAAACGACGTCCCGTTGTCCGTCCACCCCGCGATGGACGGTGCACACTTCTCCAGCATGTTGTACAGCTTTTTCATGTACAATCGTGGTTTCTCGAGCACCTGGCGGTCGGCGTCAGTGTCGCCGTTCGACTCGGCATGGTCTTCGTGGTCATGGTCGGCATCGCGGGGACGTTTGAGACTTCCCTGTTGTTTGGGACTGCTGCTTTCGATGTCTGTGCGCGCACCATCTGGGCTTTCTTCGGGGTTCGAAACAGCCATCGATGGCGTTTGACGAGGGGCGTGTGAGAGCGATTGAAGCGATGGAAGCGTCGGGGTACTTGGTTGTGTCGTGGGTCGGCACGGTGGAGTCTGCGTGATGCCTTTCTCAAGGGAGGTCATCGTCGTTGGCTTGATATCGAGCATGGACGCTTCCAGGTCCAATCGATCACGACTGACGTAGCTAATGATGGAGACGCCGGCTGGTCGAGTCCACTGGCTCAACATACTTACACGGTCGTAGTAGTACAAGCGCAGGCTCTTCTTGTCGAGACGCTCTTCCCAGTGTGCCGGGGTAGTTTCGTTGACGGGTGGAGGTGGTGGCTGAACAAAGTCGTCTGGGCGTTCCCACACACTCTCTTTCGTCTTTTTGTTGTAGTAGTACGATCGACCGTCGAGAGTCTTGTGTTCTGTCCATGTGTGGCCGCCGATAGGGCCACCGCTCGCGGCCGCCGCGCTCGGTTTCGTCGCGTTGTCGTCCATCTCGGGAATATGGGAGAACTTCCGTCGATCTTGATTTTGTATGGAGAACTTTCCATCGCACCACTGCGACTAGGGTTGCAAAAGAACATCAGGGCATATCCGGATAATCCGCTACATTTCTTACAGATCAACGTCTATTGAACATTTAAAACGTGTTCCTCCGGCAAGGTCCACTTCACCCAGCGTAGCTCGTGCTAGTTCCTCGGCACGAATACGCCCGTCCACTCGGGCATATCCATTCGTAAGATATTTCTCTTGTATGTACGCACCACCACGAATGCGGAAGCTTCCACACATTACTGTTGGAAGCGAGGGATATCTAGGGATTGGAATTGAGGTCGGGAGAAAAACGTGTTTAAACGTCAACAAAAGGCGATCTTGCACGTTGACGGTTGGTATCCGGATAGCCAGATTTCCACGGAAGTCCCGCAAAAACCATGCAAAAGCTGGCGACGGTCGACATGCTGGTCGTGCGTGTCTTTTGACCATGCCATGGGGGCGTTGAACTGTTTCGTGGGTGTCCAGAGCATTCCTGTCATGAAAAGTCCAACACTGCATCATTTTCAACTCGAAAACGCTGTTTTCCAACGCAACGTTTCCACGATACGCCATACCCCGACACCGTGAGACGCCCCTGTGAGTCGCATGTTGCAGGCTGAACTTGCACCTGAATTTGTTTCGAAAAACGCGTAAAACCCGCTACACGGTCGAAAAAACGCACTTTTGGCGTCGATCGTTGGGTTTGGCCAAAGATCGCGGCAGGTTCGAAAAATTTCACACGCGTATAAAAGGCGAATGCGGCCGACGATGGCGACGAGGTATTCATTACAGGTCATTGCTTCGAAGCGCCTCGATCTTGCGCAGGCCATTGAGCCCCGCGACGCGATACGCCTCGGCAAGAGTGGGGTAGTTGAACACGGCGTTGCGAAAATACTCCATCGTGCCACCTGTGGACATTCATCGTCGTTCAGCCGCATAGTGAGAGAGACGGCGGTGCGATGACGAGAGACAGCATGGCGTACCCGTCGACATCACAACCTGCCCGATGTGAATAATCTCAGTCGCCCCTTCCCCGATCGCGTGCACGCCGAGGAGCTTCAATGTCGTGGGGCAGAAGATTAACTTGAGGAATCCTGGCATCCCCCCGAGCATTTGGCCCTTCGCGAGCTCTTCATATCTAGCAATGCCAACCTAAGACAGTCATCCGTAAATGTTTCCACCAGCAGCACGACTCCACTTCTTACCTCGTAAGGGATGTTTTCTTTGGACAACTGCTGTTCCGACTTGCCGACCATCGAGATTTCTGGCACGGTGTAAATGCCAAACGGAAACACTTCTCCCGAGCGCATGCGGGTGCGAGGGTGGGCTGGGTCGTGGACTTCAGCATCGGGACGGAGCTTGTTGGTTGGTTCAGACGTGCGCATGTGCACTGACGCCAATCGACCTTGTTCCATCGACGTCGACGCTGCATTTTCATGGTGAGGTGTGTGAAGTCTTCCAGAAGTAGCACATACCCAACGCAGGGTACCCAATGCAATCCCCAGCCGCATAGCTAATCGAGGCGGTGCGTGAGTTCCATGACGAGGCAGCGCGAACGTACATGTGCGGGACCGCCGTCTGGAAGTTGTTGTTCACTTCCAAGATGCCGCGCTTGTTCGCAGAGAGCCCGACTGCCTCCAAGTCGAGCCCAGCAACGTTTCCCTAGGCGCCGTTATTCGTCAGCCATGCTTCAAATAACGTGTTGTGCTGATCGTCGTCAGTCGGCAACCAATACATGTCACGTTCTCTACAAATAAGAAACGTACTTGTCGCCCTTGCGTGTACAACAGCGCGTCGCCCATGATCACTTTGCCGCTGGTCAAGTGCACGACGACTTCGCTATCGTCCTTGGTCTCGACCTTCAGGATCGACTCTTCTGTGAGGAATCGGGACCCACGTTGGCGCATGTAGTAGCAGAGCGCGTCCGACACCTCCTTGTCTGCCATGTCGAGGATCTAAAGCCGAATGTGACCCGCCCACGTCCATAACACGCATGTTCACCTCCTTGCGGCCGTCAATCACAGTGACTTGCGTCCCTGGAATGATACTGATCATGGAAGCGTACTCCATCCCGATAACTCCGGCACCAACAACGATGAGACGCTTCGGAACGATGTCGACCCCACCCCATAGCAGCTGGTCCGAGTCAAAGATCAAGCGTCCATCGTATTCGAGGTCGGGGTGACGGGCAGGTCTCGTTCCCACCGCGATGAGCACCTTGTCTGCCGTCAACACGCTGGAACATGACAACATCACCAACATGTGCAAGACTATTCCATGCGTCATTACCGTTTGCAGATGTTGGCGTCGTTGTGGCGCTGCGCATCCGTCTTTTCCGTGTACGAGTCGTTTGATAAGACCTTCATTTCACGTGAGAAGGAAATATGTTGAAAGGGATGCGTCCGCACCGCGATCGTTTTCTTGTCCTCGGTTTGCAGAAATCGCGCCGTGCCGTTAATCAGGATGATACCATTGCGTGTCAGTTGGTTACGCGTGAGATCGGTCTCTGCCTCTTCGACCTTCTTAACACGGTCCAGAATTTCCTCCAAACTCAACCGCTTTCCCGTCGTCGACGCCGTGTAAGCATTTCCGTAGAATCCCTTGTGACGATGGGCCGTCAAATGCAGCACCGCCTCGCGAAACGTCTTGCTCGGAATGGTACCAGTGTGCACGCACACGCCTCCATGCATGTCCTTCTTGTCGATGATCGCAACCTTTTTCCCGTGCTTGGCACTGTCGATGGCGCACTTTTGTCCAGCTGGACCACTGCCAATAACGACCAAGTCGAAATGTTCACTCGCACGGAGGTTGCGGAGAACTTCGCTGAAGTCGGAAGGCTTGCTCTCGGTGCTGAAGAGGCGCGAGCCCGAGATGATGCGGCGCTGCTGCGAAAAGAGACGCAGCATCATTCAAGGTCCCAGGCGGAGGTGGATAGAATTGACTGTCCTCGCAACCGCAAATTTCTCGTCAACCATTGGTTCAATTTCCGGTCAACTGAACATTTTAACCAACCAAATTTAGCTTTATCCGGATGCTGGATGCGGGATGGATCCGCATCACCAAATCCTCGGTCGGCAACGACTGAAGCGATCGAGCGTGCTCAGGGCCAGCATTCGAGTTTGACAAGGGAATGTTCAAAATACCATTTTTACGTTGAGCTCCATCAAATTGCCAAAGTGTAATATTCGGGTCGTTTGTCAGAAAATGAAATCCTAGTTCACGTTTCCATCGCGGAATTCATGCGGTTTCACTGCTCTGGGGATATTTTGAACCGGATTCTATGTAGCTCTTCAACAGATACTCTGGAGTAGAAAAATCGATGCCAAGGGTAAATACTACCTTTCCACAAAATTTGACCACGTCATCGTGGATTGATATTGATTAAGCGCTGAACCGTCGACACTACACTCGGGAACGCATGCAGGGACTCCAGGTGGATCCATTCAAAACGAAAGGGAGACATGAGACCTAACGAGTCCATGTATATCTCGTTTTACAAACAATGGATCTGCCTGGAGTACCAAGTTGAGTGACCCCACATCGTATATTGTACCCTGTGCGTCATATGATAAATCGAATTTTATGATGGTGTTTGCCTTCAGATCTCAAATACAAGGGTCAATCATGTGTGCACGTAGGTGTGCATCGGAGGCCAGCACCCATACAAGATCCAAGATAATGAAATCACCATCATCCATCCTGCCTACATCTCTCGAATGTGAATGCGTTGTCGGCACCACACCATCGGAGTCATCACCCGCAACAGTACATGTATGATTATAGTTTTTCGAGACCATTTCGCGATCTTGGCCAGGTTAGCGTGGGCCTCTCACAAAAATCTGTCGGCGCTACCAAAACAGCGCGTGTGGCTCATACTTGAGCCACACGAGTGCTCTGCATGTGGAGCGCAACGTCGTCGATCGCCAGTTCAGCTTGGCAAGGCATTGAATCTGGGACGTGGAGAGTATACGCACACCCATTAACGTCACTTGTACGTACGTCGTCGTACGTACGGACAACAAGGCTTTTCGAATCATACAAGGTACGTCATACGTGCAAGTTAGGGTACGCACGGTGATATTCCCATGCGCACCTGGGTTATCGTGACTTCGTCGACACAGACAGAAAGTACCCCACAAAGTAAGCCAGAATCCGGGAGTGCCGCGCCCCCCACGGGCATTCCGTGGGGATTTTGCACCCTACGCATCGGTGCCGTCGCTACAGTGAGTAGGACACATGTAGATACGCACAATCATAGCCACAACCAAGCGACTCCCCACTAATACTCCTTGGCGGTAACTGCAACAACAGTATTCTCAATTTTACAGCACAATGAAAAGCGCAATCGTCATGTAGTGTGGCCCTCGCACACGTACCTGTCAGCGCTGCTCCAGCAGCACTTGCTTCTCGTACTTGAGCCACCCGAGTACTATCTATATGGGGTGCCGATTGTCGCCGCTCGATTCGGTTGGAAGGGCGGAGTGTTCGAGACGTGGAATGTCTCAACAACGTACATGCATCACCATGTATCATCCTGTGTACGTACGTGGTAGTACATACTGAACACCAAGAGTAACACCTCGTACGTACATCAATACCTACAAACATGTCAAGTACACGAGCAGATATACCACTGGACATTCACCGACTTCCGGGCGTTGCTGCAGCGAGCGCAACTCGTGCGCACCGCGGCAACCATTCACCATCACAGTCGCGCGCCGTCGCAGCCACAACATTGCGACACTCCTCAACCGATACGAGGCAGGCGACAACAGCAATTGCATTCTTCATTTTACTACTCGATGAACATCACTATTGTCTTGTCTGTTCTAGCCGCCGCCGCCCAGGCCACAACCGAGCCCAGCGAAGTCCTCAGCTCCTTGGAAGAAACTTCGGCGCCGTCTGTGACTGCGTCATCTACCGCGCCTTACATCCGCGAGTCGTCTGACGAGGACAGTCACTACAATGCTGCGTCCTCAAAGGCTACCGAGAGGACGGTCGCTCCCCCTGCTCCCATCAAGTGGATGGTCGCCCCCCCTGGTCCCATCAAGTGGACAATTGCTCCCCCTGGCCCAACCAAGAGGACTGTCGCCCTTCCCGGTACTCCCCGGCCGACAGTGTCCCCCCCTGGCCCCGTCATGGCGGAAGCCTCCCCTCCCGGTCCCGACGAGTGGACGGTCGCCCCCCTTGGTCCCATCAAGTGGACAATTGCTCCCCCTGGCCCAACCAGGAGGACTGTCGCCCCTCCCGATACTCCCCGGCCGACAGTGGCCCCCCCTGGCCCCGTCATGACGTAAGCCTCCCCTTCCGGTCCTTAGGGGGGCCGGAGTAACACGGGGTTCAATCCATGACGTAGATACACGACATGCCTTGTAGTTTGTGTGCGCTAGAACAAGTCTGTAACTGGAACCTTAATAATCACAAAAATACACGCTTGTTCAAATTCGTTCAACATATTTTGACTTGCTCATCTATGGTGAAAACGTATACTGTACTAAGTACAATACAATAAGAGTACCTTTCTCCATTCCGAAAAACTGGAGACATATAACTCTCAATTCAGTGTCTCTGGCAAAGAACTCCAAAATCGCACGAAATTTGGACCAAACATAGCCAATTAGAAGTCAAGTAAGGGGCTATTTTCAGATTTTTTTATTGCTCCTAGGCGCTTCACAACCAAGAATCAAAGTACCTGACAAAGGCCTTCACAACTTTAAACTTACCGTACGTATCTCAGTCTCTTGTCCAATCGAGCTCAAATCAAGTGCAAACGACTCGTCTCGTTGCGTAGATATAGATAGCACACCTCAAATTTCTGTGGGCCAATTTATCGACGAAACCCGATGCTGCGCGCCACGACGAACCACGACCTTCCCAACGACCAACGGTGGAGTTTGTACCACGACCTTCTGGAGAGCAAACAGAATGGTCGCCTGGCCAAGGGAAAGGCAAACGAACTCCTTCAAAAGTATGGCATCTCATGACAGACACTCTCCAGGGTATGGACTTGAGGGCAGCAAACCAGGGCCCGGACCGGAATAGCTGACGTATCACTGTCGAAGAAGGGCCGATCGCGGCGGCCAGTTCTCGGAGAGATGAATGCCAGGACTTCGAACACATGGTAGATAACCTTTCTAGTGTGTCTGCTTGTGATATTGAAAGGGTGATCAATACGTCCAATATTGATCACCTCTGCATAATTCTCGACACCATGACGACACGAGTTGCAGCATATCTTATATGTTCTTCTCGTAAAGGAACCAAGGTGAAAAGACCCCCCTCTCTGGCGGTTTGCTCAGCCGTCGTTTCCCAAGTTACCTTTCAGGTACTTCCGACGTTGGTCAGGGCAGTCTTCGGGCCGTCCAGTACAACGACGACGATATCCACGGGGTCATCCTGACCGACAGACGCCATGTCGGCGCCAACACCAAGCCCAACGACCACCATGTCGACGCCGCCACCCATCCCAACGTCCACCACGCAATCGTCGCCACGTTGCCCAACGCCCTCCATGTCGGCGCCAACGCCGAGCCCAACGACCACCATGTCGCCGCC